AGACAACTCCAATATACTGAAAGGATAAATTGGTTGTGAAAAATGCCAAGTTATTCATGTTCATGGTGGAAACCCAGTGTTGACTTTTAGCATAGTCATGCCCTCCCAGCTTTTACAGTCTGGTCCAAATCCCATCAGAAGCCTCTGGGAAGTCTTTACATTGATTTTAGTTCAAGCTCATGGCATGGCTTTTGTTTTTAGCATATCATATGTATTCAGTAATGATTCTGCTTGGAAAAATAGACGAGCCTGGCCCCACTTCAATATTTCATATTTGTGCCTCAGAATGAGGAGCATCTGTTTTCTCTTTGGTTCCCCAAAGTGGCTCCTTAGCTCTGGATGTGTTAAGTCTTGCCTTGTTTGTGGCTGGTGGGTAATCCGTGCATGGTTGAGTGGAATTTCATGTGAATTTAATTCCCTCTTGGACTAAATCTGAAGTCCTTGAAAAATAATGGAGGAAACTAAGAACATGGTCATGTACTCCACTCAAACTTCAAATATTTCCCATTCTTAAAAATGCAAAATAGAAACAACTGCTACTTCTCAGCCATGAACTAAAAGCCTTATAATGAACTGTTCTATCAGGCATTTTTACCCCATGGAGAAAACTTTCCCTAGGTAAAGGGAGCATAGCAACCACAGACAACCCTCCACATATTTAGCTGATCATTGAAAAATTAAGAAATAAATTAGGTATTTACTTGATCAGCAGCTAATAACTTCCTGGACCTACAATCCAGGAAGTAACTGTGGTGAGGAATCACAGGATAATCTCTCTAGAGATCTCTCTCCTCATCTTTTTTCCCCTTTATCATCTTAAACTGATATAATAAAACTGTGTATAATCTGTGCTTCCAGTGCCTTTGGTATGTATAATCTGTGCTTCCAGTGCCTTTGGGTATCAGTCATTACACTTGCTGCTTGCTGGCTAAAAAAAAAAAAAGTAACATCCTGGCACTAGAATGCTGAAGACACATAATGTCTAACAGCAAATTATTAGTGCTGGTCATTGACTCCTTGACTTATGATCTTAGTTTTATTATATGGTACAACAGCAAATTAAAAAACCTTGTGGTGTGTATATATACAGTATGCATATATACATGTAGCCATACACGCAGACATAACATATATTTACAAATGGAATTAAAAGAAAGATTTTTTTAAAGGTGTAGAAAGCTGTATGTGACACTTTCGAAAGAGCTCTAGAAATTGAGCTCCTCCAGGAATTGAGTTGTGACTATCACAATGTGGCTTGCTTAGAGGTTAAAATCATGAGCTTATTTCAGTGCATAGTTGGAAGCTGAGATCTTCTGAAAAGCTGATGCCAGTTCTGTGTTCTGATTCTTCATAGTCTCATTTTTCTAATGTGGCTCCAACTAGCAATGCCTAATTGTCTCTTCTTTTGAAAAAAAAGAGGGAGGGAGAACAGGGGATGGGAACTTTCAGCATTCATCTGTAATAAAAGTTGGAATGGGCCCAGAATGACCTGAGAAAAGGCCCAGCATGGAGAGACTTCAGGCTTGACAGAACATTCCCATGTACTGAGGAAAGAAATCTTGCCTTGAAGTGGAGATGGACTACAGAAAGTAACAGAAGTCTTCAAGATCCAGGGCCTGTTTAAATCCTCTGAAATGCCTTGTATAGCTGGAAATAATTTTTTTATTGCTCTATCCAAGAGCAATTAAAATTTAAAATTAAAATTAGAGCACAAGGGCTTGGGCAAGATATTTTAAGAGGAAGGACAAGTTGAGAAGCTCAGCAAATGAGAGCTAGGCTAGGCCGTGAAAGAGGTAATGTGTGTGCAGAGACATGTGTGAATAGGGAAAACTGAAGCCCATGCTAAATATCACTTGAAAAAAATGGCATTTAGTGAATACTTTTCAGCACCTGACCTCTGGCCCGTGTAATCATGTTTGCCATCTGTCATATGAACTGCATCTGCTTTTTCAAACGGAGATGCTATAGGCTAGTTGAGAGAGAATTTTTGGCCTTCTCCCCGTTCTCTAAAGCCTGGATCACTGAGCATGAAGCTTGCTACACCTTCCATGCTTTCCCTTGGTTGCTGTTATAATTTGGGTATTCTTCTTACATGTAATTGTCCAGTCCCTGCTTTCAGCTCAGCATTATCTGGGGGAAGCACATTCCACAGGTTAGTTTGTGGGGTGGGGGAGAGATATGTGTGTGTGAAACTACTTGCTTCTACTGATTTTAAATTTGCCTTTTCTAGTGTAGGACTGACTTAGGACCACCCTCTGCTGAAATAAAAGTAGCAGGAGTCCTGAAAAGAAAATGTACCCCATAATGTCATATTTTTCCTATATGCTACAATCCACTGATTTGCTTCTGTAAAGGGAAAAATCTCTCCTGGTTGATACTTCAGCCCTCTAATCAGCAGCATTCAGTTGTTAGTGTGTGCTCTGTATCCCTCCAGTGTGGACTCCCATCCAGAGCCAGCAGCAATTCTGCATCAGGGTGGGTAAGTGGAGCTGTGTGGCACACTTTGAGAAGTGCAGTTTGGAGGGGAAAATTGTGATGGAAAATATCTCACTGTTTCTGTGATAAACCCCCCGTTATTCAGGAATGTCTTAGAGTCTCCTGGACTGCACACAACATTCTGAGTCCTGGGGGTGTTTTTACCGTGTCTAAAAGGCCTTAAGTAATGTGGCTTTGTAAATTAAATTGAAGCAAGCAATGCACTGTGTGTTGCAGTTTGAATGAATCAGCCCTGGAGAACAACCACCACTTGGAAAATGATGCTTTTTCGGACAAGTCCGAGAGAGACAACGCAGAAGAGTCAGAGAATGAAACGCATGAGAACAGCCGGAAGACAAATGAAAGTGAGAGTGATCAGTCAGAAACACATGGAGAGGTCTCTCCAGGAAGGAAAGGGACCACTTACATTGAACAGATCTATGAAGAATTCGGCGAGGTAAAAGAAAAAAACTTTTAATCGCTACCTGTTAAAAAGTATCTGCTCATAGTGTTTGTCATTCAACCTTTTAAATGCATGGCAGGTAGCAGCCAACTTTGTGAGTTCCAACATTTTACAGATAAAGCAACACACAGTTTTCTGCTAAATTATGTTGAATTATCATGTGCTCTAATAATTATGCATTATGAACTGCAGCTCCACTACTGTGCTTTGGCATGTTTCCAGCATCAGCGATTGCTTTAACCAGTTATTGCATTACAGAGCTGCACAGCATTGGCACATTCTTGGAGCCAGGAGGAGGGGGAATTATTATTCTGGGCATGTGTCCTGGCCAATTAGGATACTCAGTCCTTGCGTGATACTAAATATGATACTTTCCTTTTTTCATTATGCATGGAACATCCTTTTTTGTGTGCCTGAATGGTGCATTTGAGCCACTTGATTCCTAAATGACAGTTGCTTGTTGGAAAGCCATTTCTCATGTCATTTAACAGCAGGAGGTGCATTTCTGTTCCATATAAGAGCTTTTGTTAGCTGAATGTCACTGTGGCACCTCTGAGGAAGGCAGCAGTAGAGACCTGGGGTAGCCAAGTGTGTTGTGTGAGTATCAGTCTGAGCAAGCAGCAGAGGAGTTCTGCTCCAGTGCCAGGAGGGCTCTGAGCACTCCCTTGCCCATTGTTTTCAACAAGGGAGCTGACAACTTGTTGGTGCTTCCAGGAAATGCATTGCTAGAGAGCTGTTTCTTTCTTAGAATCACAGAAACATGGCATCATTTAGGTTGGAAAAGACCCTTAAGATCACTGAGTCCAACCATTAACCCAGCACTGCCAAGTCCATCCCCAAACTATGTCCCTCAGCACCATATCTACACAGCTTTTAAATGCCTCCAGGGATGGCAACTCCACCACTTCCCTGGGCACCCTGTTCCAATGCCTGACAACCCTTTCAGTGAAGAAATTTTTCCTAGTATCCAATCTAAACCTCTCCTGGCATAACTTGAGGCCACTTCCTCTTGTCCTGTCACTTTTTACCTGGGACCTCCTTTCAGGTAGTTGTAGAGAGCAATGAGGTTTCCCCTCAACCTCCTTTTCTCCAGGCTAAACAGCTCCCTTTCCCTCAGCTGCTCCTCATAGGATTTGTGCTCCAGCCCCTTCACCAGCATCTTATGTTCCTCTTTCAATGTTTTCCTGAAAGTGTACTAATAATATTGAGGAAACCAGTAGAGTTAAATATATCCTAATTACACCCAGCTCCTCTTTTGTGCATCCTTCTCTTCAAATCCCACCCCCAGACACACAGCAGATGGTAACTGGGTTCAAACAGGGGATTTTGAATATAGGTGAGCAACTAAGCAGCAGCAAAATGAAAGCAAACTTAATTTCTATCAGGTGCTTATTCTGAAATGACCTTTTGCCATACAGCACAATTTTCCTAGCAGTGCTGGTAGGGTAGGCTGATACTTTGGTGTTTGAACAAGCCTTACAGGCAGCACTCGTGTATGTGGGTGTGTGAGAGAGAAAGAGTGAGACATCTCTGCAGATTTACATTAAAATAAAAAATAAAAAACCACTACAAATTTACTGGAAAGGACTAAATTCTGTTGTAGAGTGGCACTTTGTCATTAAATAAGGCTCTCTGTGGTGTGTCCGCTCAGGCAGAGGTTAACACCCAGTGAGCTTCCAAAAAGAATTGCTGTGTAGCCTTGGCCATTAGGTGTTTTGTTAGATTTCTGTTGTTGGCTAAGAGATGTCACTGTCATCACCTGGGACACACAGGTAGAACTGGTTATTGAGTCTGATCCCACTGGTGAGAGTAACAGAGAGGAGTAGGTTGTATGCAATGATGTAGCTTTTCTCAGCAATTGGAGATGTATTCAGGTAAACATGTGCCAACTAGTTACGTCAGGTGTTGGCTTAAACTGAAACTGCCCTTCAGCCTGTGTGTTCAGTTCAGGTGTGGCAGGACAAAGGTCACAAACTGTCACTGTCAATTTTCAGTTTGGCTTGAGGGCTCATGTGAAAGGTGTGCACGTGTGTAGGTGTCTCTCTGCATTTGAAAGGCGTTTGCTTCTGCAGCTGACCTTCTAGCTTTGCCTTGTTTGCAGCAGAAGTGTGAAGGCAGAGACAGGTGTCAGAAGGACTCTGAGATTTCAAAAGCTGGTCTAGAATATAAAATAAACAGCTCAGTAGGTAGATTGATAACAAAAAGAAAAAACCTTTTTTGCAAGCTTTTAGTTTCAAAGTTATTAAAAGGGTTATTGAGGGTGATATATTTCCATGGAAAACAATCCAGAAATTACTTGAAGTTCATAGAATCATTAAATCAGCCAGGTTGGAAGAGACCTCAAAGACCATTGAGTGCAACCCTACAAGTTGTTCCTATCTTCCTGCACTTTCTTCTCTTTCTGTTTTAATCCATCCCTTGTGCAATGATTCATTCTGAGTAACACTTTGTCTGGCAATTTCAACATGGCATTAATTTGTGTTGCCAATACATACACACTTGACAACCTAGATAAATAATGACAGACCCAGGTGTATTGTAAGCCCTAGCTGATGTTGTGGTATTCCATTCAGAGGTTCGAGCTGTGTATTGCATCACTCCAGCAAAAGAAAAATGGTACAATAATGAAAAGGCAATTAAATGAAAAGAGCTTTGTTGTTGCTCAGTCTGAAATTTCCTCAGCCTGCAAGCTCTGTATGACTAGTAAACTGACTATGACTGTAGGGCTCATTGGGAGCCAAAAAGGTGGTACTGGAAATGCTCAGGTGATGAAAATGAATGTTTAGTGATTTACATCACCTGCAGATCCTGTTGGGATATGCTATGTGTCCTCTCCCAAACCAAAGTCCATTCCAAAACTGGATCTGTGACCTTCTTCTCACAGAAGTCTCTTGCCTAAAATCAGCAGAAAGCCTAAGTATTCTCTTTTACTGTTAAACTATGATGCCTAGGGTGCATTAAAATTACATCCATGTTTGAAGATTTATTTTAATTTGCCTTCTTTGATGGCTTGAAAGGCCCATTCCTCTGTGTTACATATCTCATGGCCCCATCGAATGCACAGGAATTACACTGTTATAGCTGAAACCACAGCATAATCCTTGGGGTTTTTACCATTACCTACACTTGTGCTGGAAAGGGCACTGAACAGCATTTGGAGGTGCTGGAGTTTCTGTGCATGTTGCCTGGCAGTGGAGCCTTTACCATGCTTACACACCAGTTTGTCTTGTTTGGAACTCGGAGGACTGCTTCCATTCTCTGTTGATTTTTTGTTTATCTGCTGAATTTTTCTACATGTATGATAGAAATTTTTAGTCTGAGAATGGGACTGAGAGGAGCTTCTTGTATACATTGTACCAGGCACAGTGATGCTCTAACAGCCTTGGGCATGTCCACACCTTCTGAGGGCCTGCAGTGCAGAGTGCCCTTGGTTAGTGTTGATCCAGGTTCACCCTTCACAGTCCTGAGGTGTGTGTAGGCAGAGGCTCAGGAAGGAGCACAACAGAGGAGCATTCCCTGCCTTGTGCCAACTTTCACAGGCACCCAGGGCTTTCTGTGCCACTCGCTTTATGCTTTGGGAATTCAGTTCTACTGAGACAGAGCTGATGTCTCTGTGGTGTAGTTGAGCATTCACTCTTATGCCAGGGTCAGGTATGCCTGGGTGAGCTTGGACCCACCAGATAAATGCACCCACAAGAAATGGTTTTCCTGTTTCTGTCCTGAAGTTCCCTTTTCCCATCCCTTTTCTGTAGACAGGTGAATCGTCTCAAACAGAAACTGTCTCTGAGGAGAACAAGAGCCTGATGTGGATCCTGAGCTGCGACCTGGCATGGACCTGTCACGGGTGGCACTGCCTACCTTCATCCTGGAGCCACGCTCATTCCTTAACAAACTCTCCGACTACTACTACCATGCTGACCTGCTTTCCCAGTAAGCAGCATGCAGAGTGTGCCTGACCTGGGCACTTTTCTTGTATTTGTGAAAATATGTGTTTGTATGCTTGAAAGGCTCCCAAGTAATGACTAGGCTGCTGGGTTCAACACAAATCAAGCCAGGTGCCTGCTGCAGTGGCCTTTCAAAGATGGACTTCTGCCAGGGAAGGGAAAGTTCAACTCCAGACAAAACTACCTCTGCATGTGCACGTGTTTGCCAGCATTGGCTGGAGCTGATGGGGATTCAGCTGATGCCTTTGAGTATCTCACAACAGAGCTGTGCCACCTCCTGGTGTACTTGTGTACAGAGGAGAATAGGACAGAGAGCAAGCAGAATTGTCAAGCATTTCTTTCTCCAAAACCAATATAATTATGCTTGTTGATATACAAATAAGAAACATGTTTTAAAACTGTTGATGAGAGAAACCTGCTGGGAGCAGCAGAGTAGAAAATAGGAAATGTTATGCTTCCAGATAGGATCTGTCTTCTCGACGAGATATGCCTGGTCAATTGTAAAACCAGTGTGTGTAATATTCTAATAGCAGCACAAGTTACTCATGTTTATTACACTGCTGCTGGGTAATTATTATGAGGTATTTTCAAACCTTGTTTGTGGTACTTGTAACATCTGAAGTTAAGGAAATGGTTAGTGCAGAGATCTAAGAATACTTCAAGAGGTTTGGAGGTTTTGTTACATGAACATCTTTGTGGTGCAGGTGATTCTTCTAAATGAATTTTGCAGTAATTTATCTAAGTTGATTTTTATGTCTGACTAAATGGTTTAAAATACCAGGAACTCTATCGTTTACATTTATTTCCCACTTCATCTTTGAGTGGGCAGATGTTGGATGAGATGACCTTTAGAGGTCCCTTTGAACCTGAAGTATTGTATGAGATCTCAAAATACTGATAGAGGCCATGTAGCTCATCAGTTTTAAAGATCTTTGAAGAAAGAGAGAAACAAAGAAAGAGAGACGAAAATAGAATTGTCTTTGATTTTGGTGGCATAGGTATTGCTGGTTTTATAACACACACTGCACTATTAGCTGTGACTAAATGCTAGAGTGAGTGGCAGTCCCAAATTAACATACTTGAATGTCCAATCAAACCTGATACACACCAGAGATTTTATTAGCCCTTTTGCAGGTGTGCAGGGCAGGGGTCACTTTTTTATGTGTGTGTTTTATGATGTATGTTCCTAAAACAAGGTTATTCTGGGGGCAGACACCTTTTTCACTGGCAACAGCATGGAAGTTACTTCCCTTTAGTTTTGGGGAATTACTACTGAAATTAATGTTATTACGCTGGTAAGACATGAATGTGATGTGTGATGTGTGACCAGTATAAAGAGGATTTTATGTTCTGTCCTGCAGGGCTGTCCTTGAAGATGATCCATACACTCGAATGAAGCAAGTTTTGAGGTGGTATCTGTCTGGCTTCTACAAGAAGCCAAAGGTAAAACCAGGCATGAAGTTGGGGTTGTAATAGGCATTGAAATCTTCTGTTATGGTTTTGTATTTCTCTATTGCCTCTCCTTTGGCACTTTACCTCTTTTGTTGTTCTTCTGAACACCTTTGACCATTAGTTTTGAAACTGAAGTTGCATTTAGTTTCACAGTAGATAGTGAGTGCAAAATAGTGTTGGTCAGCCTCAGAGCCTTTGTACTGGACAATTAGAAGGCAAAACTAGTCATCAACAAGTAACATGTCCGGGGAGGCAAGTCTTTTCCCTTTGCTGAAAGCAGGTATCCTTCCTCTTTTCAGGCCTATAAGTATCACAGTGCAGTGTTTCCACATCAGTATGCACCTGCTATGTATAGTAGCAGAAATGATAAATTTTGAACATCTTGTGAAGCTTTGATCAGGCAATACTAAATATTAAATTGGCAAAAATAGCAATTAATCCATGGTTCAAACTAAAAGATTATATTGGATTAGATTAGATTAGATTATGAGGATATTTGTTAACTAGTTCTTCACTAGATTCTTGTGATTGACTTAGTTTAAAACATCAGGGAAAAAATTATTATGTTGTTTTGTGGCCATCTGAAGAGTTGGATTGTAAATCTTCATTTGTAGCTGGTTTTGATTACTTGTTATTTCAGGGAATAAAAAAGCCATACAACCCGATTCTGGGAGAGACATTTCGCTGCTGTTGGTTTCACCCCCAGACGAACAGTCACACATTTTACATAGCAGAACAGGTAAGTTGCTTTATTTGGATGCTCAGGTGTTGCAAAAAGCAACATGCTTGCACCTTTATGCATAGAAAAATGGTATTTGTCTCACTCTAGGAAAGGAACTCAGAGTTGTGTGTAAACATCCAGAACAGGACATGGGGCGAACTGGCTGCTGATCCTTTTTCTTTCCAGATTTACAGAAATTATGTGAGGTTTGGTGGACACTCAAGACCATAAAAGCAGGTCCCATATATAACATCAGCTGCTTCAATGAAGGCCTTTTCCACTAGACTCTGCCCTACTGTTTTCTTATTGTTACTAAAATGTGGGTTGTGTTATCTCTGTCAAAAGAGGCATAAAACACACAACCAAAGCCTTCTTTCTTTTATATCTGGACTTTCTATAATGGCTTTAATAGGAGTAAATTGAGGGCTTATCTCTATGTCTTTGTGAATAAATGAAGGGCAGAGCTCACAAGTAAACTGGCCTGACAAAATGTAGTTTGAGATTTACAGTGTTAATAAAGGGATATGAGAACTATGTGGAGTTTGGTAAAGGAACTCCTTGTTTCACACACTTTTTCTTCCTATTTAATCAGATAATTTTTGGTTTTTTAAAATTTTTATTTCAAGGACCGCATCCATTTTATGGAGGCTATTCCAAAAGGTTGCCCAAAGGTTCCACACTGCTAATTTATCGTGTTGAAAATCTGACACTGTACCTGTTGGCCTAAAGTGATCTCACTTTCACAAGTTCAAGAAAATACAGGCTGGGGGAGAAAGTTTAGGTGTATAATCATAGAATCGTCAAGGTTGAAGAAAACCTCTGAGGTCATCAAGTCCAAGCATTAACCTACCACTCTGCTGGAACCCCTAAACCCTAAACCAGATCCTCCAGCATCAGATTCAGAGGCTTCTTAAACGCTTCCAAGAGTGGTGACTCCACCACCTCCCCGGGCAACCCATTTCAGTGCCTGAACACCCTAACAGGGAAAAAAATTCCTAACATCTAATCTGACTCTCCCCTGTGTCAGCTCATGGCCATTCCCTCTAGTCCTCTCCCTGCAGGCATGTCAGGAGAGACCATCCCCCACCTCTCTACCACCCCCTGTGAGGTAGCTGTAGAGAGCCATGAGGTCACCCCTGAGCCTCTTCTCAAGGCTGAACAAACCAAACTCCCTCAGCCCTTCCTCATACAACATGTTTTCCAGACATTTTAAGATGTTCTCATGTATAATGGTTTCATTATATATCACATTCCCTCCTTTAACATGGAGGTTAATGGTACAGATGAGGCTTAGAGGACTCTGCTCAGTCCTGTGGTCTTTGTCTAGTGCTTTCCCTAGAGCATGTGTAACACTGTGTGAGGCTGTGTATGCATCCAGTGCTCTGCTTAGCCTATCCAGACTGCTCTAAATGACCTCTGCTTGTTTTTACTCTAGGTCTCCCATCATCCGCCAGTGTCAGCGTTTCACGTCAGCAATAGGAAGGATGGATTCTGCATTACTGGCAGCATTCTAGCTAGGTCCAAGTTTTATGGTAAGGCATTAAGTCTAAGCATCTCCCAGGTAATATTGTGGCATTGGTTTGTTTTTCAATCACTCCTGAGTGTGTTGAGAGTTAAGAACAAAGAAATGATTATAGGATCTATAACTGTAATTCCTTGTCTTGCTCTCCTGGGTTTTCCCTATTTCCACCGTTTCAGTGTGACATCACACTGATCTTAAAAAGGTAAAAAATCAGATAGAAAGATTAAGGGCTTTAAAAGCCTGTTGTTCAGAAAGCAAAGGTTCATGAGAATGCAGAGGTGATTGGTTGTCAGACTCCTTTGTGTGTGCTCATGGATGAGTCACTTTACAGCTATCTGATCATCCAACCTCCAAGTGCAGAAGTCTCACTGTAAATGTAGCCATTTATCGAGCTCCCAGATTCCTGAGAGTGGACTCTCAGAGCTTCAAAATGCCAAAGAATCTGTTAGGATCAGTGGAAACAGCACAATTCCAGGCTCATGAAACAGTGTTACTATTTGAAATAGGTTTCTTTGTTTAGACCAAAGCCTCTTAAATATGATCCTCTCATAAGTGTATCTGCTGAAACACTTGTGAATAGTAACACTTTTAAATAATCTTTGCTGTCCTTCTGGCAATTTTATTTATTTGGGATCATACACAAGCAGAAAAGTTGTGAGAACAGAAGGACCTGAAAAATTTCTAAGCATTAAAACTGATTCTGCATCCCACCAGTGACCTATTCAATCTAGAGCTCTTTCTTCAACAAGGGCTAAATGCCAGAGCAGATAAGAGCCATAGAGCAGAGAGTTTGTGAGCACTGCCTCCCTCCAACTGTACATGATTTGCAGGGGCCTGAATTATTAGCATTTCATATCTCTTCTTTCATTAGTGACCTACATTTAAATGGAAATGTTTTTTCTAAAGTAAGATGAGTGACCAAGTATAATACGCATTTTTTAAAGTATGTGTATTTGTTCTTTTCAATTTTAGGTAACTCACTTTCTGCACTGTTGGATGGGAAAGCAAAGCTTATGTTTCTAAACAGAGGGGAGGACTATGTAATTACTATGCCATACGCCCACTGTAAAGGTAACTTAGGACTTTTCAAATCGGAAGCAAACAGAAAGAATAATACAATGGTGTCTTACTGACTAAGTCTACACTGGCTCTCCCCTCTCAAGTATCTGACACCACAGGGACTGGTCATTCCAGAGAGCAGTTGCTCCACAGATGAGTCATAGCACTCGGCAAGGACTGGTAATCCTCACTGAAGCCTTTGTATTTGGTCTGTGCAGAACTGAGGGCAGAATTAAACCCATCTGTGTTAGTTTTAACACTGCACAAACATAAAAATACTGTATACATGCACTGCATAAAGCGAAGATGGGAAAAACAGGAATACATTTCTGAGCTGCTGAGGATAAAGTTTTTCTAATGTTAACACTGACATTGTTGAGAATTATGGAAATTCCTGACTTCTCTTCCCATTTCTTTGTTAATGTAATCATGGCATTGCTCAGAGCATGAGCTGCCTCAGTGAGCTGACTCTGTTGCCGTGTGGCTTTGCTCTGTTAAGTGAATGTGCATTGAGGCCAGGGGATGGCTACTGAGTCACTGCTCCTCAGGAAGCATTTCTTCAGGAAGCTGTGTTGGTGGCATTTCAACCACAGCGATAAAATCAGCGGTTGGATCCAATTTCAGGTTTTGAATATTTTTTGATTTGGCGCCTTGACCTCTAAGTTAATGTTTGCAGAGGGACTACTGGGTACGTGAAAACAGTCACTTCCATAAATCATGTCCTCTGTGGACTATTCCTGCACACAAATCTTTCTCTTGTCAATGTTTCTTTTGATACTGAGAAGCAGACTGAAAGCAGGAATTGAACCGTTAAAGCTGAAAGCATAAAGGATAACTTTACTAATTCAGCTTAATTAGCAGAATAGCAAGGATTACATAGTACAGACAAGAAGTTTCACTAATGGTATTGTTTTGACTTGGTTGGCAAAATGATGCACCTTATCTATAAGGCAGTAGAACTAAGTAGACTCAAACCTTGGCAGTAGAAGGAAAACTAAGACCATATAAAGCGTGGAATGAAGAAATAAAATGTTCAAGATAGAGGCAAGGTCAGCAAGGCACGCAAAACTGTACAAAGGGGTAAATGGTTGCATAATAAGGGTGTCCAAAGGGTTCTGAGGAAGAGGAGGC